CACACACACACCGACATCGAACACCGACACACACACACACACACACACACACACACACACACACACACACACACCGCGCTCACCCACGTGCACTGGGCCTGGCACTTTTAATGCCGTGGGGCTCCTGTCGTTAGACGTGGAGACGCGAGGGTCGCCCCCCCTTGCCCCACCACCTCGTGTGTGTGGAGAAGTTTACCTTACCTTACCTTACCTCCCCCCCAAGCGGGCCGCCAAGAAGGCTAGTTCCATTTCACTGTGGCACAGCTCGCGTTACAAAACCTTGATTTGACCATTTGTGCGCCATTTGTCCCTCTCGGTGCCTTCCAGAGGCAGCTGTGACCCCGCCGAGTAGACGGGCGCACACAGCAGGTGGCGCGATGTGCGCCCGTCCACTCGGCGGGGTCGCAGCTGCCTCTGCGCGTCCTGGGGAGGGACAAAAGTGTCGCCGCCGAAGGCGACTCGACGCCGCTGAGATCGGAGATCAAGCTCTGACAGGTCGCACGTCGCTCCTTTGACGCCGACGTGACTCACCCGTGCAGATCACATCAGGACACGGTCTCGACACGCTCGGTACGACGCCTGCGACCCGTCTTGGGTCAGGTGGCACGACGCTCATCGCGCCTACCAGCGCTGGCTCGAGAAGCTCTCGCAGCTGCAGAACGAGGTGAAGAACCCGTTTGCATATGCCAAGACGAGGTCGACGGCAAAGAACCCAAGTTTGTTTACCACTATACCGACAATGAGAGCCTCAGCGGCTCCGGCGCCGTCTCCCTTCTTATTTATTTGTTGCTTCTAACCTGCTGCTGCTACCCTGGGCCAGTTCGAGGCCCTAAAGAGCAACAGGTCCTCGGAGAGGGTACCCTGGGTCGGCGGGGTGCGCCGAACGGCTCCCACCCCGATGATGTACCCCTTCATCGCTCTCACAAGTCTTCACAAGTGTTCTCAACTTCCCCCGGCACTTCCGGAATTCGCCCGCCGCCGCCCGCCGACAGTCGCGACGACCAGGTGGAGCGACGCGATTCCCCAAATAGGGCGCCCCTAGCCGCCGCCACCTCCTCCCCGAGTCTGCTGGGCGCGCGACGGATCCCTGCCTCTCTGCCCCCCCGCCCTCGCCTCGCCGCCGCCTCCTCTCACCCCCAGCGGCCGCCACGCCGGTAGATTGCGAGCCGCCGACCGTCGACCATCATGGTCAAGGAGCCCGAGCCTGCCTTTGAGATCAACGAGCTGATGACGCTGATGGTGGCGGACTTCCCGTCGATGCCCTGCCCCGGCTCGCCCAACTCGACCACCACCGAGGACCTCTCCGCCTTCGGCAGCGCCGACTTTGAGCAGAGCTGCCTCGACATGGACCTGCCCTCGCCAGAAGGAGAGGATGGGGCGCTCGTGGTGAGCCTCCCCGCGTCGCCGGAGCCCACCGCCAAGAGTATTCTCTCGCGCAAGCGCGAGGAGGTCGCCGGCGGCGGGGGGGACGATGAGGCGCGAAAGGCTCAGCGGATGGCTCGGAACCGGCGGGCGGCGGCGACTTCACGGGCACGGAAGAAGGAGCACCTCGAGTCGCTGCAGGCGCAGGTTGACCGCCTGCTTTCGGAGAACGCGGCGCTCCGCCGCCGGCTGAGCGACGCCGGGCTGAGCACCGCGGATGGCGGCGGTGGTGCGGCGGAGGACCCCGGTGCCGCCAAGGGTAGCGGCGGGCCTGGCGGTGACGCTCACGAGGCTGCAGATGCAGAGCTCGGTCTTGGCGTCGGGCTCGTTGCGTAGGGATCCATGCATGCATGCACGGTTAGGTGAGGGGTGTTGAATACAAAACGACTACATGACAGACTTTTTGAATCTAGACACAGATTTTGAGACCGTCTCGATAGAGACGCACAGACCACAGTCCCAGGCAGACGCACACAGCAAAAACGCACACAATGGACAATGACCTTAGGGCCGGCGGGCACGACGTCCGAATCTCGCGTCGCCCCTCGCGTGCAGCGCGTCGAGCTCGCCGACGCGCGGCGCCGCCTCGCCGCCGCCGGCCGCCGACGCCGCCGCCCCGACTCCTGCTCCTGCCGCTCGTGCGGCTCGGAGGGCCGCCGCCCGCTCCAGCGCGAGACGCTTCTTCTGAGCGTACTGCTGCGCCTGGCTCGGCGGCGCCGCTTCGGTGGGCGCGCGCGCAGCCGGCGCGACGCCCAGCGGCGGCTCGACGTCGCCCCGCCTCTCCGCGGCGCCGAAGGTGTAGGCTCTCACGCCGCCGTCGTCGCAAGCGCAGTCGAGGCGGTTTGGGTCGGCGTGCATTGCGCGGACCGCGGCGCCGCCGGTGCGGAGCGAGTAGAGCCGCCTGAGGCCGGTGCGTGGCGGTGCTGGCGAGGGCGCCTCTCTGCGCAGAACGCCGCCACGGCTAGTCTACCCCGAAGTCCTGGTGGTGGCAGTCGGGGCGCGAGTGTCTGTTCGGGGGGGGGTCGACG